TTTATAGTTCGTGACGTATACCCTGGTGCTCTCTTCCCTCTTGTGACTATTAGGTTAGGGTTTTTTTAACTCTGTTTATGAGAAATGTACAGATATTGTATACTTGATGCCTCCAGAAGGCATATGGGAAACTTGTAAGGGAAGTGAGTACCCCGATTTTTTTTATGCTAACACAGTGAGAATGAGTGTCATTCTGTTACTGAGTTACTGGAAACTTTATGGGCCCCTCTGGGGGAGGAGGACTATGGAGCAAAGAAACTTTTTAGTGGCTGGGCTTTTCTTAAAACCTATTCAAAGCAGACCAACAGCTGCAAACTTAGAGAAGAACAGACTGAGAAAAATCAGCAAGAGTTCTGAAAATGTTCCGCAAGCAATGTGGGAAATTTGGGCAAGAGTCAGATGGCTTTGGGAGGGTGATACAACAGTTTATTTATGACTTTAGGGTCTGGAATTGATTTTCACCTGAATATAGCAGCATTAGGAGGTGCTCCTGCTCAAGACTTCAGTCCTGGCTACTTTTTAATATCTATATTGTGCTACATGGAGCCTCAGGACGCTGCTCAAGATCTAGTACTAAACTTTTGTGTGTTAGATTCATATATGGATGTAAGTCATATTAAGGAGTACTTTTGCACTTTGGGAGTTATACCATTGGTTATACCAAGCTGAGGCTGGGCAGAGCTGGTCTCGGGATGTGGTATTAGCAGTCTGGTACCATTGTGCTCTCTTAGGTAGCATGCTGGATGGTGCTCAAACACAATCAAATCACCATAATCGATACAGCTTGTCCCTAACCTCAGACAGGCTTTTTGTCTGTTTTAGTAGTCTAATTATTAAGACCTTGTAGTAGTTTATTTAACACGTTCCCCACTGACGGAGGGATATTGGAGACACAGTTAACCTATGCCTGTTTCACACTGTAGTGTGCTTCTTGGTAATCTTTTACAGGTCTTAAGGATATTGTGAGCCCTAAGCACATGGAATTGATGTGCTATGGACCCTTTTAAACTAGCCGTTTATGTCATGGATGTCTGGGATTGCAGGAAACTGAGCTTAACGATTATGGTTAGCCCTTTCATTCTCTTTTCTGTATTGTTACCTTTGTAGACAGCATGGAAGGAAGGGTCTGAAATTCCTCCATTGTAAAGCTCTGAGTTTCCTTCTACAGACAAGTGCAGGGAAAAAGTATCTTACTAACTCCCAAATATTGATTCCTTCCTCTTACTCGTAGGTTAAATAGTAGAATGGAAAATTAAACAAAGCCTTGCCACCACTTGGAAGCTTTTGCAAACTGCCCCCCAAAACTGCCTATTTATGATTTAACATAATCCATAGTTTCAGGTCCCTAGCATGGTTTGCTGTGTACACCCCTAATACAGATACAATTTAAGAAAGACATAGGAAACTTCTCGGTAGAGTTGTGATCTAATTGCTGACGGGAGACAAACTGCTCCATGCACAGTGCAGCTGGCAAGTTTAGCATGAAGTATTGCTCCCTTTGCACTGCGTTCCTGCTGTGGCTTTTTGATATGCTTTCTTGTGGACAGAAAATGATTCTCACCCAATATAATGACAAGAGGTCTGGTATGCATTGCCATGGATTGGAAAAGTCAGACTACGTTAATAATGTTTCCCTGTTTTCTCTATCACTACTCAAGAGTTTTTCTTTTTTCTCTCCAAGACGGGAAATGAGACCTGTGTTGCTTCAGGCTGTAAATTATAAATGAGTAGCATGATTGTCTGTAACTCGAAGCAAAGGTCAAAGGGATTTTTTTTTTTGTATTTTTCCTATGTTCTTTAACTGGATCTTCTTTGATGTCTACACTGCATATACTTCATCATCATTATATCCCACGCTCGTGCATCATTAATGCAACTACAAACGAGATGGCTCAAGTTATGAACTACCAGTGCTTCACTCTAATGCATACAGATAGGAAGGGGGAAAATGAGCTAAATAAAAATACTTATTGAAGGGATTGTTCCCTGGTGTAAATGTGCTTAAAAGGAAGCATTTTCTAACTCAGCAAATGTCTGCTGATTGAGTTGTAAAATGAGGAAAAATTTTGGGATAAAATAAGGAATTTGAAAAGCTTTCATGCCTATTTGTCATGAAATTAGGCAAGTAATAGCTTGCTTTCAATTGTATGTTGCACATTTGAAAACTAGTTCTGTGCACAGTTTGGAAGGTTACAGCAATTGTATGTTGCACATTTGAAAACTAATTCTGTGCAGTTTGGAAGGTTACAAAATTCTCTGGGAAGTTCTCATTGTGGTCACAACACGAGGACATGGGTTTTATTTGAGGGAGAAAAGAAAACAACTCACCTTTCATTTTCAGTTACTCATGAACTGGGCTTTATCTACAATGAGAATGTTTTGACTCTAGAGTCCAGTTGTATACAAGTTTAAGGTGTTTTTAAATACAAGGGCATCAAATATGACTTCTGAGATCCTCCTATGTTATGCTTTTGCAGAGATTATGGCTTGGAATTCAAAATCTATTTAGAACTCGGTGTCTGTTTTTGAAGCAAGAATAGACAAAATGGTGACTGTGCTTCAAAATACTCATTTTGCGTGCAGAGCAACAACTCTTCAATACAAAATTTTACTGCAGCATCTGAATGTGCAGTTTTACTGCCTATTATTTTTAGCGAGCATTTATAGAGCCTTATGTTTAGGGTTTAACACCTAAGCTATTTCCCATCAAAACAGGCTGAAATTTGGCATAGCAGTGGCAACCCTCATTTCAAATTTTTCACAGAAAATTGTAAACAGCAAATTGCTAATTTGTAAAGATTTTGTTAATTTCAGCACACTGAAGCCTGTCAACTTAAGTGTCAAATAATATGACATCCATATGGACCATTAGATCAATGATGGTTGAGGACCAGAGCTGCCTCAAAGTGCACATCCTGTAGTGAAACTTCTGAAGCTCTAGAACAGCCGGGATTGGGGGGAAGAAAGGGCAAGACAGCTAAAACTGTCTTTTCATTCTGTCATTTTGGAAAAGTTTTGAAATTTCAGTTTCCAAGTTCCAAACAAGGCATTGCAGCAGAGGTCTGGTTTTAAGCCAGCTTCAGAGTTAATAAACTTTGAGCTTTTGAGAAACAACCGGAGTTGACTTTAGGATGTGGTCCAAATGCAACCTGTTATTGTTTTCGCCGCATGCTACGTTTCATGGTTTTTGGTAGGTTAAGCTTTTGGAATTCATAGTTGTAGTAAAATACAGAAATTCAGGTTTTATGGCAAAATATTCTATAGGTATTATACAGTAATACTAAATAGCTGAAATATCTTTTATGATTCAAAGCATCAGTAAAGGAGTCACATGGGCAGAACCTGTAGCATATTTTATTTGGAGTATATTTATTTTGGCAATGTAATATCTCATTTGAAATGAATGTGTATTGCACTATTGATTTTCATGGGTCTTAGAGTAGAAACATCATGCAGCAATAAAAAATTCCATGCTTTTTCTGTCTGCACTTTGTTTAGATGCAGCTCAGAGCCTTTCATAGAAAGACAACATAAAACCCATGTTGTTATACAGAAATACCAAGTACTTTATTTTACACTATGCACAATAAGACTCTATAAGTCTATAACAAGTCTTTAACTCAAGTGTGGTCTTCGTATTACAGAGTTAAGTTTTCAAAGCGTAGTGCAGAGAAGTGTTCCTGCTTTAGAGAGGGGCTATTTTCTTTTTTCCTTGTTTATCTCCAGGAAGGCTGATCTACAATGAGCTGTTACTTGTAGATTTTTATACTACGACAACTTTTGAACGTGGCCAGGCTTTATCCCTATCACCTCTGCTGCCTGGCATAGAGAAAACTGAGCAAAGCCTTGGAAGAAATACTGTTTATACCTCCATCTCCAGAGACCTCAGGAAGAAGTCTTTGGCCATGACTTCTTACGTGTTGTAACAACATGAGGGTTGAAATATGGGGGGAAACCCGGCATTATTAGGGTGGGAAGGGAGGCAGGCCGTGCTGCCTTCCTGTCTGCTGCTCTCCAGTACTCTTTGCATCTTGGGGTGCCCGGACACTGGGTCTGATCCAGCTGCTCTGGGAGACAGGAGAAAACCCTCCAGCCCTGACTCCACTCAGGTGTCCAATCCATCGACCTCTCCTCCAGAAAGATTAATATCACTGCAATACTTGATGGTATCTCAATCCTATTTTGGTACCAGTACCATAAAGAATGCAAAAAGCATCTCATCCACTACCGGAAACTTATTTCTCTGTATGTCTCTGCATGGATTGGAAACCTGTTTATAGCAATGTCCTTGAGAACATTACCCTTCGAGTTTGGAAACAGTAACAATCTGATGTCATCTTAAAACACTTGGGGATAAATGATTTTCAAAGTAACAGATCTTTACTTTTTTCTTGGAGATGATTTGAAAAATTTGGCCTTTGGATTAAATTGTCTTGAATTTAATTTTGAAGGGTCTTTTTTGAATAATAATCTCAGTTTCAAGAGAAAAGCAATTTACTGCAGAGTTCACATCCTTATCTCACGGCAAGGAAAAAACAAAGCCAGCACAATCTTTATTTGAAGACTCTGTTGTCCATGTACTGTTCTCACTAATTCCTTTGCTTTGTGAAATTAAGTTTTGACTTTCATAACACTTACTGGCTTTCAATAGTCATCAAACTTTAGGGGAGTGGAATTTAATGCTTAGGAACAAAAGACTGAAGTATTTATGTTCCATTTTTCATTTTGTAAAATGGAATCAGACAAAATGGATGCTGTTAGAAATCAATAGTCAATTGAAAAATGTAATACATTTCATCCTTAGTTGTTAAAGAGAAATTTCCAAATAGTAAAAATTGTTAATGCTAGCTATTTATAGAATTTATTACCTTTTTATACCATTGTTATATTAGAAACATATATAGTTCTTAAATCTTTCCTATATATTTCTTAACTCTCATGCAAGTTAAAACACATCAAAGTAAGGTTGTTTTTCATTTACTTTCTTTGACCAATTTTAGGCTAATTGGCTGGTGGGGTCATGAATTCAAAACACGATTCCTCATGGAAAACAGTATGTATTTTTATGCTTTCAGTTTTACTTCATGTGATGGTTTTATATAACCAGCATCACTTTTACAGTAATTTAAGTAGAAAAGAGAAATTTGTATTTTACCTATGTTAAAGGTATTATATAAACTAAACTCATCCCAAATATGTAGCACAGTGGAGTCAAAGTAAATAGAGGAATAAATTTGATCTCTAGGCATGCTGATCTTGTTATCTGCTTCCAGACATTTTGCTTAAATACACTAAAACCCCTTCAAAATGTAGATGTAGACTATGGATGAAAGTTTCGGAGTATCTCAGTGCATTAAATTTATAAGTCGCTGAGGAGCGAGGGTCTGCTATCATTCACGCTGGTTAATATCTTACTTTAGGATTAGTTGCACGGGAATTAATGAGAAATTATGTGAATAAAGGTAAGGCAATCTGACATAAGTGACGAAATGTCACCAATGTTTCAGTATCTTCAAATCCCCTGCACTAGCAGTGGATGGCGTATGAGACGAAACCAAACCTCTGAAAGAAGCTGAATATTTATTGCCCCAAAGTGTGTGGAAATGAGTCCTTTCTACATCTGACACCCAGACACTTTTGCAGCTCTGTCTTAAAGCACTGCAGCAAAAATGGTCTGAAGGTTTGTGAGAAAGGAGCTTTTTGCTTTGGGGTTTTTTGGGCATGTGTGTGGTTTTCTGTGGCAACCCCTGCTGATGTGACTTTGACTGCAGAGCTCATCTCTGCCTTGTCTTTGTTTTCTGACCAAATGGAAGTCAGTGGCACTATAAAAAGCCAGCAGGAGAGACAAATTACCTTGAAATACTGTTAGAAGAAAGTTGTTTATTTATCTCCACAGACAGTTGATAGGGAGAAGTTGGGCAATAATCATTATAAAATTAGACCATTAGACCATTTCCCTTGCAACATTCTCTTGCTCTGGTGCTGGAGCATAAAATATAAATAATGACATAGAACTTACAGTGAGGCTTTTTGCCTTTAATAAAGAGATTTTTGTGAGATTTCACAGCCCAAAGTCTATGCAACTTCTATACGTGGCCTGAAGCTACGTTTGATCTGCATATGTGGTCTCCCACACGTCTCATCATTTTAATCAAGTTAAGGAACATGATTCCCTAATCGTGCGCTCTGGCTTCACATGAGTGTGCCTCTGCTGACTGGGAGTTTCTCTGGTTTATACCGGTGTTAAAAGAGATTCAACTGTAAAGGTGGTTTTAACACACACCATTTAAACACATTAATTGCAGTTCTCTAGTTCCCGTGAAGCAGCTAATGAGATCTTCTGCTGGATAAAATTGGGCTTCTCTGGAAGTTAAAAGTATTAGCTGTGAATAGATTACTGTTTCCTTTTAATGACTGATTCCTAAAGGCCATGTTAGCGATATATTTTATTGCATTAGGACAGACTTCAAGATAAGGTCCAATACATTAAGAGTGAAAAAATCAAAAACATTAATATCCTTTATTCATTTTCCAGAATTGCAATTAAGTGAAGGAATTAATGGCTTTCGGTTATCGAATCCTCCAATTTTACTGGTCTGTGCTCTGCAAGCTAGTTTAGAGGTAAGTAACTGCTTTACTTTAACCCTGAATCTAAGCTAAAAGAATGTTGTGTCTTTTTGTTGTCTTCCTTAAAAATGCCAGAAAAGGTAAAAAGGAAAGGCGGGGGCGGGGAGCAGAGAAACCTTGAGACAAAAAGGCCACGTATAATTATGCCTATTCCTTCACTGTTCTCACAGACTTTGCTGTTGGATTCGGTACAGGTGAGATTTGCACCTCTAACTTTTAGACAGGCGTAAATGCTAAAACTGTGTTTCTCCAGCCTCTTTGGGTACGAATGGCAGCTATGCAGAGCTAGCTCAGAGTAATTATGGGAAGGATGCAGCTGGAGATCATCGCCCTAGGCAGGACCCGCGAAGCTCCGAAAGGCGACATCCAGAGTCGCTTCAACATATATTTCCCCGGACAAAACCCACTCGGCTTCTCTATGAAGAAAAGGCGAGAAAAAAACCGCTCAGTGTCACACGGTTTAAATTGAACAAGTGGCTCTGGGAATGTGTCATCCATCGTATCTGCTTTTATTACAAACAGAACAGGCAGAAACCCACGAATGCTCCCTAAAAGAGGGAATTTGCGAGCGCGATGTCGTTCTGGGCTGGTTTTCTTTTTATTGCTTTATTAGTTTTATTTATTAACGCGGAGCAGCCTGTCCCGGCGCAGGGAGGTGGCTTTGAACAAGGGATCGCACCGGCGGCACGGCAATACCCTGCGTTTCCATCCTGGGCGACTCAGCTCTGTAATGCAAGACTGCAGATCTCTGTGGATGGTTTTTTTTAGTGGCTTTACATGGATTTCTCTATGTGACTATATTATCGTTTTTCCTAACCTGCTTTGCAAGTCGAGGTTTTTGCCACTAGTATAAGTGGGACAGATTTATTTTCAACAGCATGCTGCTAACTATAGTGTAACAGTAAAGCTGATGCTGGAACAAAGAGCATCCTCTGTGCACTGTACGTTCCTCCTCTTTGTTTGCTTAAGCTACTGCATTTTTAGTAAATAAAGTCAGAAAATTGCCGCTTCCGCTCTCTGCAGCTTGCATGCAAAGCTGCAGGACGGCGAAGGGCACCGCTATCCTGCTCCTTCCCCCCGACACTTCCTTCGTTCGCCATTAAGC